CGCCCCCGCCGTCCCGACGGGAATCTTCGCCTGCCGCTCCTTTCGCTGCCCGGCTCGCCCACCGCCGGATCTCGCGCCTTCCGATTGGCCGAACGGAGCGAATCACGTGCCCAGACCCCGGGGTCCCGCCGCTCCCATTGGGCGACCGCCTCCGCCAATCAGCGCAGCAAGCGCGTGCGAAAGAGGAACCGTAACACGGAGAGGCAGCTCGGCTTTGATTGGACAGGGCAGAATAGAGGCCACGCCCAATCTGTGAATTGATTGGAGAAAAGGAGTGGACCGCAGACCATTGATGGAATTTAGAGGACTTTAGACGAAATCAGCAGGATCGCTTCCTAGCTCGTAAAACTTAGATGGAAGGTCTTCTGACCTTTAAGGGTAGTTTAGAAATTTTTAAAAATATATGAAAGACAACGAAAAACCAATTTGGTACTCTTGTAAATAATTCCATGGCCCTCCCCATGTAACTCCCCAGGAGCCAAAAAAGCATTTCATAGCTTATTTCTGTCATTGTGAGTTTTCATGGCATGCCTTGAAGGATGCTTGATGTTAGTTAGCATCCAGCGTTTGAGGAAGAGTCATCCAAAATTTGCATTAAATAAGCATATATGTGGGATTACTTGCATTGGTTTTTTTTCATCAGAAGTGGAATGTGCTACTCTTGCCAATGGTTACATGTTAAAATTCTAAGAAGCTGATAGAGTACACGGAAAGGCACCAGAAGAGATATCATATATCATAGCTGAATGTTAAGTATTCATAATGTGTGTCCTGTAGATGGCACTCAGGGTGTGAACAACCAATTTTTCTTTAGCCTGAAGCTAAAAGAAATTGAACACTGGATCAGAGAGGCAATTGGACATATGTGTGTGGGGGGTGGGGGAGTTGCCAAGAAACTCTGTGTTATGAAACATGCAATAAGTTATGCATTAGGAGACCAACTTTCCACGGCTAAACATGCAGATAATAGACAGAATTTAATCTGGACACAAAACAGGTAATTGTGATGTATACACAAAGCAAGATTATCTTGGATAACCTATTTGCAGGCTTCTTCTAGTATTTAAAATTGAGTTTTGTGTGCAATTTCTAAAAGTCATAAAAGAAATGTAATTGGGCTTAGTTAAAAATCATTTGCAATAATTACATTAGCTTTGCTTTATATTAGGGTGGATTGTAAAAGGGTTCTTTGGCTTCCTGTCCTGCCCTCCAGGTGTATTAGATTTCAAGTCCTGCAATTCTTCAGCCAGTGTGGCATTTGGCCTTGGAGATTGGGCAAAAGGGTTGCAGTTCAAAACATCTGTAGAATGTCAGGTTGGGAAAATAAATAATTATTGCAGCATAATCATTAGTGGTAATGTGATATCCTCTGAATTTATTGCTCAGAATATATTTTTGGTCTCAAATTTGTATTTTGTATATTACATGCATACAGTAAGTTGTTTCTTATTGTTGAACCCAATAGCAACTGTATTTCTCTAAAGGAATAATAATGTATAATGTTGAAGAATACTATAGTGGCTGCATTGATAATGCGTTTTACCAACATTTCAGAAAAGCAAAAGCATCCTCTTATTGGCATGCATATTCTTCTGGTTACTCTGTGTACTGCCCCCCCCCCTTTTTTTCTTCCTCCCTTGAACCCAAGCCAGCACTTGGAAAACAGGAGATGAACCCAGAGACCAGACAGAAGGCCACAGTTCAATAGCAAACCAATTGGGACTAAGTGGTTCACTTAGCCTCAAGTGGCTTCTTCCATATGTTATAGGTTGCTTGGATCAAAGGGTAAGAAAAAAAACACCACTTCTGGAAATAGAGCAGAAAGTCTCGTCAAGCTGCCCCAGCTGTGGACCAATCTAGCAATGCAGGTGGAGGGCTGAGGACACATGCTCTGAAGCCAGTAGGAGGGGCATGGTCATAACAGGATGAAGAGACTACATGGATGTGGCCAGGATTTGCTTTAGGGTAGGTGAATGTGCTTGGCATATGGCAATGGCACAAAGCATGCTAGAAAAAGTGATGCCTGCCAGCTCATTAGTTAGTGCTTGCAATCTTATAAAAAGCAGCTTTACATTATTCACTAAAAATACATGGATGCAAAGGCAGATGAGGAGAAAATTGCTTGAATGTAGACATCAGTGTAAGAGATGAAGGAACTACAGGTAGCCCTCAGTTAGTGACCACAATTGGTTCTGGTGGCTCAGTTGTTGAGCAAAGCAGTTGCTGAATGAAAAATCACATGACCACAAGCATGCTTACAATTTTGCTTCAGCTTTCCATTGCTTTTCAGCATCAGACAGATGCAATCTCAAACAGCCAGGTGACCCCAAAAGGTAGAAAGGTTTCTGGAACTTAGTCAATGGAAGCCAGATAAAAGACCAAAACTTACGGTGATTTTTCCCCACACCCTTGCCCTTTGGAATGCTCACCCCAGTGCTGGGATAATTAGCAAGAGAATTGATGTTTGTATTCACATTCATTGGAGAGGAAGGGATTACAAAAGAGTAAGCAGGCACCATGGGGAATACACATCAAAGGAAGGCAAACAAAAGCCTTTCCTGTGAAACTGATTAGAGTTGTGTCAATTTCGGGAAGCAGCTGCCAGTGGCCCAGCATTCTAATCAACTAATTAAGGTCACAGAGCTGAGCTTATTAACTTGCTCTTAGCACGTTTTAGGGAGGTGCTGTGCTGGGGAGAAAAACAGCTCAGGAAGAGATAGCTTGTTTAGGCAATCTTTCTGCACTGCAAGTGGGGGGAGAAAATGGGTCAGGCACAGGACAATGAGATAATAGTACTGACTGTAATGGCAAACAGGTGACTGAGAGAGATGCTGTGAAGGTGGTAAATGCAGGTATTGGTTGCAAAATTACTTTTTCATCACCATCATAATCGTGAACAATTGCTGACTGAGGCAGTTGCTAAATGAGGACTGCCTGTATAAACTTTCTTTTTTCTTCAACAGGTATCACAAAAGCTTGATTGCTCAACAATTTCTTTTAAAAAATAATACAGTAGGTCATGCCAGATTGGGGTAAGGCTAATCATTGTGTGTGACTACTCTAAAGAGAAACAACAGTAAAGCCACAAAGCTTGCCGGTGTTAAAGAAATATCCTGAAGTAGTTAAATGAAACAGCTGTAGAAAAGCTGTAGAAAATTATTCAAAAAAGAATGTCATGCACATCTCTGCGATATTGGCTAAGAAAAACTGCAGGTTTGGGGGGTTGTCCTTTCTGATACTTAGGGGGTTTCTTCCCCTTTTCCTTTGTTTTAGGTTAGCGTTGTTACACTGACGATGAGGAGGTACCTAGGTTTCATCCTTATTGGGACCTTCAGGCATAGATAGCCAGATATTGTTGTATGGGGTTCAAATTCAATTCAGGGGCCTTCACACTTTAGATGACAGTATACAGTGTGTTTGCTTTAGAGGCTATCCAGGTCCTGGTGTTCAACCTTAGACTCACTCTTGCATTCTCCATTCCTGCCCAGTCCATGTTCATATGCTCTCATTCCATAAATTGAAGATGCCCACATCCTTTCTACATAAAATATTATTGGATTAGAAATATTAGAATACATAGAAATATGTAGCAAAGTCAATCGAAAGACATTTGTTCATGTATGAGCTATATGGTGGAGTGAATAAACCAATTTATTTCCTCTACTTCCAAGAAAATCTTCAAAATCTTCAATCTTTGTTCTGTTGATATGGCTTTCACAGATTAGCCATTCTCCTTGCTGGCTCAGATCAAAGGCCCATCTAGGGTAACGTTCTTCATCAACCCAAATTAGTTGCCCTTCAGCTTATTGTTAGGATAGGAGGGAAATAAGGTAAGGAAAGATACACTATTCTGAAAAGTGGATTTTAATTTTTTCCAGATATTAAAATTACCAACTATTGATAAACCCAGTCTCAAATCTAATCATTTACTTTAAAAAAATGTAATATGGCAAATGTCAGATCTTAAACCATTACAGTAAGTCATTGTAAGGAAAAAGAACAAGAGGACAACCAGCAGCAAGGTGGATGGACTCAATTACAGTGGCAATGGGTGTGCCACTTAAACACCAAGTTATGGACAGATCATCATGGAGAAAATTTATTTATATGGTCTCTAAGAGTAGACATTGATTTGATAGCTCATAATCAATCAAAAGTGAATTATGCTCCCAGACAGGCTTATAATTAAAATCCATACAAAATAGTATCTTTTCTGGCAACTTTTATTAAAAGGCACAAGCTTATACAAGAGGGGCAGGGCTGGGATTGCAACATCACACCCACCATCTTGCAGATTTTGATCCTCCCTGTAGACACTACTGAATTCTAGTGTGATTATGTTGAGACACTTTTTTTGTTTACATCTTCTATAATATCATAAACCAACATCATGATTCCACTTCTTTTATTGCATCAAGCTAAAAAGCTTCAATCTTTAGCCCTTTGGGAAGCTAGAACCTATGTCCTCATGTGATCCTGTTAGTTCATTGTTCTGTTCCTTATTCAAATCAATTGTATTCTTAGGAGGCAATTAATGTGTTCCACTGTTAAATGTAGGCATATCAGGAGATAGACAGACAGACATTATTTTAGTTTCATAGAATTTCAAATAATGAAGTTGCTAATGTTCCCTTGCTGTATCACTCAGAGCTGATGTTTCAATGGGCTTGTCCCTATAGGCTAATAATGCTAAGTACTGCAAAACACACAGCTTCTACTAGACTGGGTCTTTATGGCAATGTTAATTTTACTTAAAAGTTCCAACAGAGCCAGTTCTTAACAGAGATTTTAAAAATCCCTTTAAATTTTAAGATTTTTTCCTCTTTCTGAAATAACTTCTTTTTATGCCTGAAAGCGTATGAATAACATTAGTAGCATAATAATTGCAGTTTTACTTTCATATTCAAACAAAATAAAACAGTTCAAATCAACGATTCAAAATAAGGATTTCTCTGCAACAATTTCAAGGATGAACTAAAAGTACCAATTTTCAGTGATAATAGTGCCATAACAGCCAATAGTGCTTCTGGATTAAAACTGATGCTGAGCAAATTCCTTAACAACTGATATGCGCAGGAATGTTTTTGCCATTTAGAATATGTTTACAGGATCCACAACAAGTAAATTATACTCATTTAAAGTGACTGCAATGACAGTAAAGATAAATGCTTATGTAAGAATTACTGATAGCTTGGATGGAGTGGTATCATATCCCATGTATGATAAGAGCAGAGGGCAAATGTTTAGAATTGTCTATGCAGTCAGAACAAAAAGATTTCATGTCTTAAAATGTTGCTACTGTGGCTGTTCTGGGACAGAAGAGGGCATTTTAGGACGTGGTCTAAACAGTCAGTGAATAGTTGAGTTGGCAAACAATTCCCAAAGACGACTGCCAGCTGGAATGGCTTCAGAAGATCTCTAGAGGGTCAGCTGCACACTCATAGCACCAACGTCTTGCTTTTACAAGCATTAATGAAGTAAAACAGAAAACACAGCAAACAAAATGTTCTTCTTACAGCAGGGACTTGTGAGGAGAGCTGGCCCCACTCCCACCTATTGGAGCCAAAGCTTATGATCTAGTTTCTCAAGTATGCAACAGATTTCTAAGAAGTACAGAAATGCATTGTCTTCTGCATCCTATAGTCCCACATAGGTCTATTATTCACATGGCCACCTAGAGGTTAAGCTCAAACATTACACTAAAAAGCCCTCCTGACCACATACTGTGATGGAATCCAAGGCTCAACTTTATAGGTGGATAGTGAACATTTCACAAGTTAATTTTAACTTATTGCATGCAGAGAAAAGACAACAAAAGTATTAAATAATATAGCCATGCGGGAATCCTGTTCTTCAACACACAGATCAAAAATGCTATGCTAAGCTGTATATCAAGAAAGCTGAAACCAGAATTAAGTGGGCAAATTTGGGCATTTGTCAAATTTTATATATTTTACTTGCTTGTACAAAGTACAGTAAACAAAGCTGTGCATCCAAGTTCTGACCACTGGAAGTGGTTTCAGCCACCATTCTACTTTCTGAGCTTTTAAGAGACAGTGCCTACCTATTTGCAAAGTCCAAAGAATTAGACATTTACTTCTCAAAACAGCCAAATCTGTTAGAATGCAGAAAGTGAGTCCTGTGCCCACTTAACATATAATTCAGAGTCTCACAAGTTGTCTATGACTCTCTTCTACAAGAGGAAACCAAAAGATATGGTACAAGTAGAACTTCCTGTTATGAGGCATGAAAGATGTGACTTAAACTGCCATCCTATTCACCTGAGAGTGAATCCCATCCAACTAAATGGGATTTATTTATAGGGTGAAGAGACATAGAGCTGTCATTGATCAAGAGTGACACAGATTCCAGTCAATCAGTCCATTGTAAGACAATACAGTGCTGTACTATAGTTATATCTCAGTTTAATCCCTGAGTATTGTTACTGAGTATTGCTGTTTTCTTTTTTGGTGAGCTATTAGCATCTCACCCTTCTAGCTAGCTTGCTTGAAGTACTTGGGTGTGCTCATGTGAAAGCTGTGATTCAAGTTATAACTGTGTCCTTCTTTGTAGGATACAAACCTGTGCAAAAGTAGTAATTCGGAAGACCTCACACAAATATTCTAATCCTTCCCCAAGCATGTACTTTTACATCATAATTAATACATCACTAGTGGCAGCAAAGTTTAGTATTATTTTGACATTAGTTTATTTAACTGTTTTTTCACCCATTTCACACTTTTCTGTTTTCTTGATACACTTACTTGGAACTAATGATATAACCTTAAAGGTAGTCCTCGACTTACAACCACAATTGAGACTGGTAATCCTGGCACTCCCCATTGCCATTGCTAAGTGAATTTCACCAGTCATTAGCTGAGGACCCACCCCAATCCAAGACATTCTGGGCTTGGTTCCTCTGAGCCTCAGCAAGGTAAAGACTGCCTCCAACTCCCTCCACCTGCCTATCTCCCCCCCACAACTCTGCCCTTTTGGCCGTCCTGCACCCTCCTTGTGGGTCAGCAAGCAGCCTCAAAACCACACAGTTCTGGGGCTGTTTGCCACACTGTGGCTCAGGGGCTTCTTGGTCCTCCTTTGCTCACTTGCATGCACCAGCCCCTTTCTTCCCCCCTTTGCTCACTCACAAGCACCAGGCCCCTCCTTTCATCTTCACTCACTCAAGGACTCCCCAGGGGTGCTTCTGGCATGCGCTCTGCAGCTCACATTGGAAGCTGCTAGCCGTTGGTGAGGCTTTCTCCTTCCTCCTGCAAAGCCCCAGAGCCACAGCATAGTGTGAAGGGGCGTGGTGCGTGCGAGTGAGCAAAGGGGGGGAAGAAGGGTGTGGTGCATGCATGTGAGCGAAGGGGGAAGGAGGATGCTGGTGCATGTGAGCGAGGGTGGTGTGTGTGTGTGCAAGAAAGCGAAGGGGAAGAAGGGCACTGGTGTGTGTGAGCAAAGGAGGGAAGGAAGGTACAGTGCATGTGAGCAAAGAAAGGCTTGGGGGGTAGCAGAGACTTCCCCAAGTGACTTGCGACCTCCCCTGCCGACTTCCCCATTGACTTTGCTTATGGGAAACAGCACGGAAGGTTGCAAATGGTGATCACGCAATCGCGGGGTGCTTGGCAACTGGTCATAAGTGTGAACGGGTTGCCAAGCACCCAGATCACAATCATGTGACCATGTGGGCACTGCAATGGCCATAACTTTGGGGACCAGTCATAAGTCCATTGTTTCAGCACCATTATAACTTCGAACAGTCACTGAACAAATGGTTGGTCGCTGAACAAATGGTCATAACTCAAGGACTACCTGTATATTACAGTTACTTGGGAATAAGTCCTATGGAGCTCAGGAAAATTTCCTTCTGAGTAAATGATATTGCATTGTAAACTTTAGAGACATATATGCAATTGTTCTGTGGTGCCTCACTGGCCTTATTTAAATCTACACATGAAAAAGTAACCATAAATCTACCACAATCTCTATTCTCCTTAATATAGGAAAGGATCATTTAACTCTAAGAGATATGAACAGCTAATCTGAAGCGACTCATTTTTCATATTTTCTTGTGAAACATGGATTGCCATTCTCAAGTTATTCAATCAAAAAGAAGATAATTTATTTTTAAAATACACTAACCTTAAACTGAAATGTATTTCCTCAGGAACTTCAGTAGGGTTAGTGGTGGCTTTTTCATTGTCAGTGTAATTCTCTGGGTCACCTAGAAATCCAAATTTTCCTATTTCAAGTTCCAAAGTTCAGATGAGCATGAGAAATCTGGGCAAAACCCAGCCTGCAGTAAATACATTTCCCCCCCAATCATCACTGTACATCTGCTCATTATTCAGATTACTGCCTGGCTTTGAGGAGTATGTTCTCCTAGAATTTACAAGGCAGCATTTGTTGGTCAATATAATTAAATCAGGACTTAACCTGCAACAAAAGACAGCAGTATAGTTCAAGAGAAGTGCCTTCTCTATTGCAATACTTGGGGACAACACTGGAAAAAGCCTTCCCCTTGGGGACCTTCCCCTTGGGATCCATTTGACCCCCCCACACTTTGGCTGTGTTTAAAAAAGCCCAGAAAACCTGGCTCTCCCCCCACCCCACCTTGGGCTAGATGGGTGGCAGGTCCTGGGTGCTGTATTGTTTTTAAAATGAAAGTCCTCTTCTTCTCGATGCCTATTATTTTGTACTTGTAACTTTTTTAGTAATGATTTCATTCTTGTATGCTGCCAAGTTGTCATGGAGTTGGGTGGCCTTATAAATAAATAAAAGAAGAAATAAGACAGGACTGTGCTCAATAACCTCAAATGCTGAATTTTTCCACTCATCCCGGTCCTCTTCCCAGCCTTTAGAAAGCTTATCAGAAGTGTCCATAACTGCAGAGGAGCAAAAACCTAGATGCTTCAATCTCCTTACATGTGGAACCTTTATCAAAAAGGAGGGTTCAAGGGAGGGACTATAAAGAAGGGCCAAGCTTGTCTATCTGCTCTATTCTATGTCTGTAATTCTTTTTAGATATTATTTCTTTGCAGTAACAGTGACCTTTTCTGAGGGATCTTGGCCCCAGAGATTCTAAGATGGGAAGTTTTCTGCTTTGGGTAAGAAGCAACAGAGTAAGCTGTGAGAGATGAATTTGTATAGAGCAGAGAGAGATTCTCTTTTAAATTCACATTTGGTGCCAACATGAATTTGAGATGAATCAGGGGGCATAAAAGAGAACATCAGATTTCAGGAAGGCAATCTTGACACTGATTTGACATTTCACTTTTCAATCCATTGTGAAAATGAAGTAACAGTAGGGGAAGTTTATGAGCCCCCTCGTGCCTTAAGATGGTGTTGATAAATTCTACATCAATCAAAAGGAAGAGGAAGCCCATCTGTGATCTAGTCCCAGAATAAAAAGGTTGATCTGATATCTAAAACACAATTGGTTGGAAGCTGGTTATTGTATTCTGTTCTAGAGAATGTCAGGATATGATGGTGGTGGTGGGTCTATTAATGGCTCTGTAGTTGAGGACACGTCTATCCAGGTTTGGATTATACCATTTGTACTCTCTGCAGAAGCAGAGAACCAACAGGATTTATGCTTGGGATTGTGGGATCTGAGTGGTTCCATTTAGGGGCTATTCTGTAGTAAGAATGGCAGGATGGTACGTTCAGATAACTGTTGGGACTTTTTTAGTGATTTTTATCAGGATGCCCATTCTGCGAAGAGAAAACACCTATACAGTTTTTTAGACCTGTCCCATGAAAAGTGAACTGGATTAGTAAGCTTCATCAGTGATGGGACAGAAAAATTAGAGCAATGATAGTCCCCACTATAACTGAAGAGGATAATTCATTTCCTAATCTTCTGTACTACAAAACATTTGCTCTAATTGTTTGCCATGTCCCTAGTCCTGGCTATGTATTTTCTAATGATAATATGAATATCCATGCAGGTTGTCATAGTGGGAGATAGGGATGGCCTCGAACAGTTCCTAGAAACAGTCAGGGAAGGAACTTGAGACAAAACAATTAAAGTATCCATTCAAACTTACCTTATCAATCCACAGTACATTAAACAGCTGCACCACTGGTCATAATCTGTGTTGCCAGTATCTTAAGCACCAGGATAACAAATAGAGAAACGGATAACATATTTTTACAGTTCCTACAAAAGTATCTTTTACTTTTACTCCTGAACCAGCATTCATAAGAGTTTATTGTTAAGACTGATAAGTAGGGTGATCAGATTTAAAAAAAAAAAAAAAGTGAAAAGAGAATCTTTAATGGTTGCATACAAAAAGCTAGGTGGAGCTTCAATCATACTCTCATGGCCATCTTGACTTTGTTGACCACATCTTGTAGACACCCCTGGAAAGCTGTAGTTTGCCAACTACTGAACACAAAAGAGATGTAGAGCATAAATACAATCAGCCTATATTATTTTGGTCTTATAATTAATTATAATACTGGTTGATACAGTCACAAAAAAAATGGTCATACCTTCACATTGACATTTACAATTAATCGTAAATAATCTCCAGAACCCAGCACTGACATGATGAATGCTAGGAACACAACCTGTTTAGAACTCATCTTCAATAGTTCAGAAATTGCTTGGAGCTTTCCACCCAAGTCATCTCTGAAAAACAAAATATATTTTTGAAAGCTTTGTTTCTACTTAAATTGTGAGAAATGCTAGAGGAATTCACATATATCTTGGCTAATATCATCTGGAATCAATCAATGAATATTTTTTAACGGATCGTACTGGTGGACAATTTTTTACCCATAAATAAATAAATAAATATTGCAGCATTCACATGAGGTAGGATCTCTTAATGACCAATTGTTGGATCTCACGCTATCTAACTTAAATGTTGTATTTTAAACATCAGCAACCATTGCTATCTTCAAGAATTTGCTTAAACCTCTCTTAGGATAAGTTTGTCATATCACACTAAATCAGAAACATTTGAAAGGAGCTCCAGATCCATTTGCTCCCACATCAGCTGTATTCATGAGCCAACCCAATTTATTTTTAGCTTGCTGCAAGGCATTTGCAGAAACTCCTCCCTTATAGTGCCTCCCATCCCCTGAGCTTCAAGCCTTTGAAGGGGAAAGGTGTCTTGATGCTTTTTCAACTCCTTCTCCCCATAGAAACCACTGAGATTTTTCTGCATACAACTAGAACAGTGCACAAAGCCTGGTCATGGATGAGCAAGGCAAAAATGCAAGCAATTTATTTATCTACTGCATGGAGTGGGAGTGTGGGAATGTTTATTATTGCTGGAAAGCCAGCATCTTGGGTAGAGCACTGCTTTTTGATTCTAGTTCTCAGTATAGAAGTCCGCAGGCTTGAAAATGATTATGGATCTTCATAAAGAATCAAAGAGCACATTTCTACTGCACTGTCTGTTTGCTTTTTCTAACAAGGCAGCATGTTTTGTATACATACTCTTCATTTCCAAAATGAGCAATCACAAAATTCACCAGTTTCCCTATGAAGTTCACAGTCATGAAAATGGCTGATGCTATCTCCCCTTCAGAAGGAAGAAGATGGTAACTGGATTTCACTATTTGGTACCTTGACAAAACCATCATTCTGCAACATAACATAATAAAACTCCTGGATAGTGTTAGTTCTAAAATGTAACATTAACTAAATTTAGCACTGGGTGTTTAATGATTTAAGGCAGTATTACTGGCCCAGCAATGGAAAGACAACATAGTCTGTATTACAGGTAGTTCTCACTTAATGACCATTTGTTTAGTGACCATTCAAAGTTACAACAGGCTGAACAAAAGGACTTACAACTGGTCCTCGCACTTACAACCGTTACAGCACCCCCATGCTCATGTGGTCATGATCTGGATGCTTGGCAACCAGCTCGCACTTATGACGATTGCAGCATCCTGGGGTCACACAATCGCCATTTGTGACCTTCCCAGCTGGCTTCCAGCAAGCAAAATCAGTGGGGTACTATGTGACTCACTTAACGACCATGTGATATGCTTAACGGCCGCAGTCATTCACTTAATGGTAGCTGCAAAACAGGTTGTAAAATCGTGTGCGACTTGCTTAACAACCAGCCCACTTAACAATGAATTTTCTGGTCCCTATTGTGGTCATTAAGCGAGGATTACCTGTACACTTAACAAGGGGGAGAAGTAAATGCAGAATTAAAAGGAAAAAAAAAAGGGGTAGGTGGGAAAACCCTGGACATATTATTACAAATCTGTATTTCATGGCAACATGGGGAAAACACATACAGGTAGTCCTCACTTAATGGCAGCAACTGGGATCAGCAACTCTGTCACTAAGCAACACAGTTGTTAAGTGAAACATGACCTGACTGCACTGGACTTAAGTGAATCACCTGCAGTCATTAAGCACGACATCATGTGACCACAACTTGCAACTTACTGCCAGCTTCTCCACTGATTTTGCTTGCTGGAAGTTGCTGGCTGTGAAGCTTGCAAATGGCAATCACATGACTGCAGGATGCTGCGACGTTATGATTGCAAGCCATTGCCAAGCATCCAAATTGCAATGATGTGACCATGGGGACATTATGACGGCCACAACTTCGAGGACCAGCTATAAAATTACTTTTTCAATGCTGTCATGAATTTGAACGGTCACCAAAGTCTACCTGTAAAACCAGTTGCTTCCACTTTAATTAAAAATGATAGAGAAAGTTGTGGAGCTGATTTATTTAAATATTGAGTCATATTTCTAACTAATAGCCCTAAAGGCAAAATATAAAAACAATATCGTAACAAAATTATGTTTTTCACATTACCCTGATCCTGCCTTAATACCAGACTGATCCACACAATAGGCTATGCATAGTTGTGACCTTCATCCTTTAGTTTATTATATTGATATCTTTAAGAGTTGAGTACTTAATAGTATAACAATCTGGATGACAGCAAAGAGATACTTTTACACTTCTCTTTTCTGCAATCTAGTGGTCATCATCTGGTTGCCCTAATTTTAACCAATTATTTACAGTGTGTTCTATTTAGCACATAAGATCTAGGGATTGTGTTAGGATTTTGGCCACAACTGTAATTTATCAAGCCTAGAATTTGTCTGAAGGGAAAGATTAGGCAGGCAGACTTCTCAAATCAAGACATACCATAAATGGAAAAGGAATGCTTTTGACTGTATTGGGAAGTTTTAGAAATAAGCTGAAAACCTATACTCTCTGTACTGAGCTTTTTATTCTTGTTACATAATCTGGAGTCATAAATTTAAAAAAAAAAATTTCAAAGTGTGTCAACAGCTTAGCATATTGATTTTTTCAAAGTTTCAGTAGGAGTGTTCACAGGGTGCAGTTAAAAAGTCATGATGGCAGCCGTGATGGTGCAACTGGAGCTCTGCCCGTTTTTATGTGCTTTACAACTGCCATCTTGACTTTCCTGACCACTCCCTGAGGACATCCCTGAATTTCAGAAAGCCAGTTTGAACACAATGAAGGGTTGCAAGCTTGGATTGAAAGCTGTATGGCCTTTTCAAGTTTCAAGAAATGCTTTCAGATCAAAGTTTGCTTAACAATACATTTCACAAAGAGTAAAGATCTTTACATTATTGAAACCAGTGCTTCAAATAAGCAGTTTCAAGGGAAGTCTTTTTACAGCAAGGTTTATTTGTTAGTCAGCAACATACCAAGTATTCTTCTGTTGGAATAATATTACACTAAGAGCAGGTAAAAACACCTTGGTGGATCTTGAAATAGCTAAGCAGCATTGGGCTTGGCTATGAGACCACCAAAAAGCTGTAGACTAGATTGAAAAGTCAGAGCATTTTAAAAAAATCCCAGAGGCAACATTGACAAACCACTTCCATTTGTTGACCCCTTGCAAAATAAAACAAATATGGGCATATCCATGTAGACACTAGATTTTGAAGAAGCGGAATATGAAGAGTATTGACGCTTTTGAACGTTGGTATTGGAGAAGACTCCTGAGAATACTGTGGACAGCCAAGAAAACAAACAATGGAGCACTGAACAATCAACCCAGAGTTCTCACATGAGGCACAAATGACCAGGCTCAACTTCGGACGCATTATACAAAGACCTAGCTCTCTGGAGAAGGCACCTAATGCTGGGAAAAGTGGAAGGAAAGAAAGGAAGAGGACAACCAGCAGCAGGGTGGATGGACTCAGTTACAGTAGCAATGGGGGTGCCATTGAAAGAGTTGAAAGACCAGGTTAGGGACAGATCATCATGGAGAAAATCTATCTATGTGGTCACTAGGAGTCAAGAGTGACTTGATGACACATCATCAATCAATCAATCGCAGGGTATAGTCCTTAGCAGATGATTTCCTTACACCTGGGGAAACATTTTCTCTTGCTCATACATATGTTACAGGCTGTGCATGCTTTGAAAATGACTTGGAACAGGTTCTTTAGAACACAAGTGCAAACTCAGCACCTCTTTGAGGCAGCCACATCTTTGTTCAGGTTATTGTGCAAGCCTGAAGTTGCATTAAAGACATGGCCACTTTAATGAACTGACTCCTTAAAGCAGCCATTTTTTTTTCAGGCTCCTGCAGAAGTCTCAAAGACTGAGGTGCTGTACTCATGCTCCTACACATTCCAAAGAACCTTTTTGCAGCATGTATTGCCTTTGCACATATATTTGTGCTAAGGTTTATGTGGAGCTTAGAGAAAGAATATGGTGTAACGTGTACATTGCCAAACAAAGCAAAGCAAAATGGCAGCACAGATCTGCATTACATTTTCATGTGAAAATGCAAGTCTTATACAACACCACTCACCACAGCAGTGAAGAATGAGATAATACTGTTAGTCAAGCACTAAGTCTTCATGGGGAATCACAAATCTCCTTTACTTCACTTCTCATGCTTTTTATTTTTACGCTGAAATTAGAGTGGGCCATCTTTCATACAGATGATTCTTTCAAATAAGGGGTCAATCTTTTTGTAAAACAGCATCCATTCACCATAGGGCTGTGTTTGTGGGTGAGCTAGAAAAAAGGAAGTATTAGAAGAACATCTGGCAATTTGAAAAAGACACACACAGAGAGTTGACTTTGGAATGGCAGCACTTTCTTTTGGAGTAGCAGATGTATCATTCACATAAATACGAGCTCTCTTCCCCAGATGATGCTATCCCTAAATACTTTGTACCATCCACACTTTTAGTTTTCCCAGCTTGCATTTCTGGGAACTGTGCTTCTTTGGAAGAGAAAACAGGTGGGAAAAAATTGTGCTGATGGGCAAGGGATTTGCCTTTTTATTTGCATTCCATGGCAGCAATTTTCTGATAATGCTTAGGGTCAAAATTCACAACATCTCAGTTAAATCACAAAGTAGGACAGCCTGATATAAAACCTTAATACAATGCAACAATCCCACTGCAATTCATTCAGTGTCCATGTCCTTTATTTACCTTTTTAATAAAATAGGACTACTCACCCCCAAGAATGATCTTGTTTACTTGGGCCAAAATCTGTATAAAAGCCAAGTTTTTGTCCCAACCACATGGCTGGATCACATTTTCCAATGCACAACCTTGAGGCATCACTCTCCACAATTGTAATAAAATCTGCACCTAGGAAACAAACGTGTTTTGAAACAGCATACCAGTAATCCTTCAGCCATGAATCTGCAGGCAAAAATTATGATATGAGCAGAGCAGAAAACTGGGATTTCAGTTAATTACACTATCCTCCCATCAAAACAAAAACATTAAAGGCCTTCATTCTTCCATTTATGCATTGGCTCACAGACATTATGCATTGGCATGGTTGATATATAATATTAATATGGTTTGTTTCTTCTTAGCATAGTACTATGAATCGAGTCTCTGTAGTTCGTTCAACAAAAAATGTTGTTAAATAAATCTTGAGTTAGCAGTTTGTGTGAACTGTACCATTGAGTGAAAGTTTTTAGATGCAAAAGACAAACATTCTAGGTTGGGTCCAGATTGGAACAAACCTATTGACCTTGATTCCATTTAGTTGTCATTCCAGTAGGTTTTTTTATTCAATGTTTAATAATATTTTATACTATCTTTCAAGCTTCCGCCAAGCAATTCTGTCTGGTTAAAATTTGATAACAACTAACAAAAACCGTAAAAGAATAGTATGTAACATTTAAAATAATAAGATGAAAACAGGTATCTGTTCATTTATATATTATTCTTGTTATTTAAAGCAATATCTGGATTAATACTCTGAATATTAGTTTAGGCTAAGGATATTGAAATAATAAAACATGTTAATATTTTTATGTAATCATTTCAGATGGATGGCTGACTCTTCTGAGACTATTACCAATCTATCTTAAAAATGAGTATTACACAGTAAGCTAATAATATATATAGTTAACATGATGGCAGTACGTTAGGGGGCTCTCATACAGTACCCTAACTGAGTTTGCAATCAGTTGCAGTGTGATAATTTAAATAATACAGTTTAAGGCTAAAGAACTGATCTTTTTAGCTCACAGCCTTCACCATTATGTTACAGCAGCTGTCACTCCAACTTGCTTCAACAGCATCTTCAGTCTTCAATCAAAAGTGAAATGTCTGTTCTATCATTCTAATAGCATATGAAATGCTTAGCAACAGAGGACATGTTTTGCATGTAGAAAATCTCCAAGGATCAAATACTGTAATGTGAAACATCTCTGCCTGTTACTTCATCAAAGCTGATTACCCTTTCCAATGATATGTTACTTAAACTCTCTTTTGACCATGCTGGCTGTGATTTCTGGAAGCTGCAGTCTCAGTCTCCAGAACTGGATCACCAAGCTGAGGAAGGATAACACACTGAATGGATGGATGACCATGGATAAACAATTTCACCTAGCTTAATTCTGCTTACATGACAAGATGTAATTATTGATGATTTTTGTTTGAGCTGAGAGTAGCTCCAAGCTCAGTGCCAATCGTTGGACAATGACTTCAATTACCATTATGGCTCTTAGGCCTTAGCAAAGAAAGTATCTTTCACTGTACTGCAAGTGGAAGAACCTACTATGAATACCAAGAGACCCACAATATGGAGACATATATTCGTTGAAAGTACCTGCTTGATTCAACAAAATGGCAGATCGTTCTAAGTTAAATCATCTTTCATTATCATAACCAAATCTCAATGGCCAAATAAAAGCAGAGAAATCTTTCTTTGGTGGCTGAAGATAATTGAAAAGAAAAAAAAATCCTGCTGGATTTTGTCATAGCATTTCACTCATCTATCTTTCCCTCTAGGTAGCTAAAAACAAAGATACTGACGGCATAACAGAGATTGGCAGAATTAGAAAATGTATATTAATCCCAAAAAGGAAGGAAAATTGTGACTCAAAATAAAATAATTATCCCAATTCTAATCTCCAGGTAGAACTGAATCTAAACACGTAACCACATTACCTTAATTCACGTTGTATTAATTATCAGAATTCACACCTGGGTATAACAGTAAATCTCAGTTTGCAAACACTTAACCCCTTATTTATGTATGGGGTTGAGTATGACTTGGCTGAAGACTCAGATACAACTGAGATCAATTAGAAACTCTACAATGACCTTTACTTGTGAAATTATTAATAACGTCAAGTACAATACTGAGATACTTTATAGATAATAAGTAGGAAAAATATACAGCATAAATCTGCCTAAACATTTCACCTATGTACTGGTCACCTTACTAATTAATGATCTGTAAATGAATCTGAACTCTTCCATTTGCAAGGACCAAACAGGGAGTTTTACACATTATTATGGACATGATATTGTATAATTAATTCATATATTATATGAATAGTATTGTATTATATTAATGGTTGGTGATTTG